TGACCTGCTCTGGGTGACCCTGCTCTGGCATGAGATTGGACGTGATGATCTTCCCAGGTTCCTTCCAACCACCTCGACATTCTGTGTGATTCTGTGCAGCAAGCAAAAACACAAAGCTGGACATATGCAGGGGGACTCAGCTGAAACCCTGCTTAGACAAACTATTTCTACAAGATGCCTGAAGGCTTTCACAGGGAAACAGAGATGAGACCCTGTCCTAATGACAGCAAGAGAAAGCATAGGAACACAAATTCCCCTCCAGCAGTACCAAAAACCTGATCAAGGCCTGCCTAAACACAGTGATGTTGATAGCCATAAAGCTGCCAGTCCAAGGCAAGACATGTGTCCCCTCAGAAGGGTGTCTCCACCTGGAGCTACACATCTCCAGGTCAGCAGGAGCCACGCCTTGGCTGGGCCCAACCAATACCTACGCCGGTGACAAGGACCCAAGCACGGGGCGGCTGCTCAGCATCAGCAATGGCTTTAGCCAAGGTCTTGGTGGTCTCAACGCGGCTGCTGATGACATCCTTGCAGAAGGCATCACCCCACCTGGCAGAAGGAGAGACACTGATTAGACTCCCCATGATGACACCTCGAGAAACAACCTGCAGACACCTGCTCACATCGCAGGAGTGGTCACGTTAATTCCCCCCACTCTGGAGCAGGGGGAGGACATGGGATCTTACCACTCAAGTGGATGGGGACTTTGGGACACAGTGGCTCTCCACTTCCCCCAAAGGGCTGTGGGCTATGGACTGCCTCAGGACAAAGGTGGCAGAGGAGCTGGACACCAAAGCTGAGTGCTGTGAATTCTTCCCTAGCACCTGGCAGAAGCATTTCTAGAAACACCTTCATAGATGTCAAACCTTGGTTCTCATTTTGCATTACCTAAAAATAGGCACCGACTATCATTTTGGAAACATGGAGCTACTTTGCCTGGCCTCCTGAAGGGAGCCTGTCTTCCAAAGGTCTCCCAGAACTGAAGAGGCCCATGGCAATGCTTTTGATGGTTGAGGACCCAGATGTCAACCGTGAGGTAACCCAAACACTTCCTGGACATCCTGCTTCCACCTCAGATCCCTTCCACATTTTCTGACAACATTAGGCCGTCTTGCCTTCACTCGGTCCCAACAACACTATGGGACAGATCAGCTTACCTGCGGAAAGGGTTGAGGACATTTTCACCAGCCAAGTTCACCACGGCCTCGCACGAGGGCAGCCCGGAGCTGGACACCTCTTCCTAGGCAGGGGTAACAGAGACATCACACACCCAGCCTCCTTTCTGCTCAAGCCTCCCCAATAACCAAGCAGGGTGGGCTCCTAAGAACTCCAGGCAGTTCCTTCCTGAACCTGTCTGAAGCCCAGAAAGAGGAAGGTTTTGCTTGTTGGAGCTCCAGCCATACCCACCCCAACGATCAGAACCCCCCGAGCACCCGGGTGCCCAAGAACACATCCGCTGGAGCCAGGTTTCCCCCTGCAGACTCCCTGCATGCCCCGGCAGACCAAGGCAAGCGGGTTTGTTCGTCGGCCCCGACATCTCCTCCCTCCTGTGACCGCTCGCATATCATACCCAGGTGATCCGATCCTTGCCCGCGTGGCGAGAGACATGGGTCACCTCATGCCCACGGCTCCGCAGCAGCTGGGTGAGGGCTCTGCCCACAAAGCCAGTCCCACCACCTAGGAGAGAGACGGGACATCACGAACCAGCTTCCCAGGGTACGTCACCCCAGGCCCAGATGCACCCTGCTCCTGGCTCCCCCCGCCAGATCCCTGTGCCCCCAGCTCCCCTGCACAGCACCCCAGCCCCGAGGGCCTCCCCCTGTGCCATGCCTGGTCCCACGTCCCCTCCCCTGCTCCCAGAGGGGCAGGGAGTGGGGGGATGGTTCCAATCTCTGCCTGCAGCGCCCTCAACCCAGGCCCACCCTGTTAGATGGGGCTCAGAGTGACCGTGTGACAGCGTGGTGGCAATTGCTGGTCTGACTGACTGGCTACACTATGGGACACATCATTAACGGCTC